CAGGAGTGTGAGTGCGTGTGCCGCCGCTTATCTGACGTTGTCTTTTAGGATCAGCATAAAAGCCAGAGTTGGATTGTAATATATACTATTGAAGTAGAAGATTATTTACTGTCCATGATAAAAACTGCCCTATCGTATCATTTTAATTCTCTCATAAGTCTAGGAGTGGGAAGAGGACGTTGGGAAATAAATTTCTCCAGTGACGTAACGAAGCACCCTACCTGTCTAAGCCTATTGGATTCCATGTGAAGGCTCAGTAGGATCTTTATGAAAGTATTGTTTGTGTCTTCAGCTGGCAGCCTTTACTGCTGATTTCTTTTTCCTTCGACAACAAGTTATGTAACACCTGACCCACTCATCAATCTTAACATCACTGAAGTTGAGATAAGCGGACAGTATGTGCTTCTATGAAGTACATCCGATTCTCATGTGGTGGTCTGTTTATAAAGAGAAAAAGAGAGAAGTTGACTCTAGAAAACCTAGTCTAGGTCTAATTGCAAGTGTACAGGAAACTTGGGAATGGAGCAATGTGTTAAACACCACCACAAGGAGCCACTCACCTAAGTCCAGAAGGTGGGAAGAGTTACAGGACAAATGATACATTTCCTGGAAAAAAAAAACCCAGAAAAGAATACTGTTAATGGATTCAAAGATAATTATAGAGCTATCAGTGAAATGCAATGTGTAGGCTTTGGATCCTGACGAAATCACCTGAAAAAAACACACACTTAGAAACAGGGGAAACAGAATAATGAGTGTTCCGTGGTGTTAAGGAGTTATTGCTGATTTCTTTGGGTGCGATACTTTTAATTTAGCCTGGTGTAGTGCTGTAGGATACACTGGACTGCTAACCAAAAGGTTGATGGTTCAAACCCACAACCTGCTCCTTTGAAAACTCTATAGTGTCGCTATGAGTGGGAACCACCTCAGTGGCACCTAACAACAACAGTGATAAGTGATAAATATTGAGGAGTGCTGTGGCTCTATATGATAAGCACTGAACTACTAACCACAAGGTTGGTGGTTTGAGCCTAACAACTCACCAGGTTTATAGCCTTGGAAACCCTATACAGGGTAGCTGTGAGTCGAAACTGACTCAAGGGCGCTTAACAACAACAACAACAACATGTTGAGCCCTGAGTATCGTGGTTTAGCACTTCGCTGCTGACCTAAAGGTCTGTGGCTTGAAGCTTTCAACCCCACCAAGGGACGGAGACACGGCAATTGCTCAGTACAGATGTACAGTCTTGGAAACTCTAGGGCAGGCCTACTGTGCCCTGCAGGGTCACTGTGAGTCAGTACCAACATCTGTTAGACATGCAGAGGGAATGTGATGGCTCCATACGGTAACCACCGAGCTGCAAACCTCAAGGTCCATCCATAGTTTGAGCCTGTCAGCTGCTCTGTGAGAGAGACATGAGATTATCTGCTTCTGCAAAGATTTAAAAAGCCTCAGAAAATCTATGTAGGTTCACTATAGGTTGGAACCAACTGAAACGCACTTAACAATAGCATATGGATATTTGTAAGTTAAAACTGTGGTCCCCCGAGAGACTGTGGCCCTGAGTCACCCTCTAGGCCTGGTACTGAACTTGCTCCCATTCTTCAGTTTACATCCAAACAATAGATAGGTTTATAAGGGGAGGGATGTACACCTTGTTGATTAGTGCCATCAAATTGGTTTTACTCATAGTGACCCTGTGTATGGTTTCCAAGGAACGGCTTATCCTACAGCACCACACCAGGACTCCATGTATACCTTATTATTGCTAAGTGCTGTTGAGTCACTTCCAACTCAGTGACCCTCAATAGGGTTTCTAAGGAGTGGCTGGTGAGCTTGAACCACTGACCTTGAGATTCGAACCAGCCTTGTAGTCTAGCACATTAACCCGCAGCACCATACCAGGACTGCATGGAGACCTTAGTGTAGGCTGGAAGGGCAGCATTTACCCAAGGATGAAGTTCAGAAGGGTTAGTTAGGAAAGGAGGAGGACCGGAAGCAGGAAGCACAGGGAGGAAGCGATGGTCCATTGCGGGGGCCTTAAGGCAGTGAGATTGAACAAAATGTGTATGAACTGTTGAATGTAAAACTAATGATCTGCTTAGTAAACCATCATGCAATTCATAACAAACTTTTTGAAATATATCACTGATTCATAAAAGGACTGAGTTTCAAGTTTACCAATACATTTTATGAGGGACTTCAAAAAATTCATGGAAAAATAGGATTAAAAGGTAAAAATGAAAAACATAAACTTGGTTTCTTTGTTTCACATCGTGAGTTTCATCAAGTTTAAGACACTTTTGTAGACGTTGATACCAGCCATTTAGTTCATCCCTAAAGAACTGAGAGTTCTGAGACTTTAACCATGTCAATGCAGTAATTTTTATGCTGTAGGATCAGCACTGGACTGCTGACTGCAAGGTCGGCAGTTCAAACCCACCAGCTGCTCCTTGTAAACTATACACAGGGTCTCTGTGAGTCACCATCCACTCTACAGCACTTAACAACAACAGCAACTAAAGACAAACGAGTGCCCTTTTAAAGGGTTTTTAAGATCGGTGGTTGGTGGTTATGTGCCGTGGAGTTGGTGCCGACTCAGGGCGACCCTGTACAGGGTTTCCAAGGCTGTAAATCCTCACAGGAGCAGAAAGCCTCATCTTACTCCCGCGGAACAGCTGGTAGTTTCCAACTGCTGACCTTGCGGTTCACAGCCCAATTCGTAACCACTACACTACCAGAGCTCACAAAAATTCAGAAGGAGCCAAATCAGGACTATAAGGTAGATGCTTAATGATTTCCCATCAAAACTCTCTAAAAAACTGCCCTTTTTGTAAGAAAGGAAGGAGCAGGAGCGTTGTGTGGGAGAAGGGCTCTCTGGTGAAGTTTTTTGAGTGTTTGACTGCTAAAACTCTGGCTGACGTTCTCAAAACACTCTCATAATAAGCAGATGTCCATTGTTCTCTGGCCCTCCAGAAAGTCAGTAAGCAAAATGCCTTGAGCATTCCAAAAAACCTGCTACCATGACCTTTGCTCTTAACTGTGGTCTGCTTTTACATTGGCTGGACCACGTCTACCTCTTTGTAGCCTTTGATTTGATTGTGCTTTGTCTTCAGAATCAAACTAAAAGCCGTGGTTCATCTATTGTTAAAATTTTTCGAAGAAGTGCCTCGGCACCTGGATCTCACTCACCTGTTACCTTGTCCATTGGAAGCTCTGCTTTTATCTGCAGCTGATTCAGGCAAAAGAGTTTGGGCTCTTAGGGAGCAGAAAGTTCACTCACCTTTGATTTTTCAGTCACAGCCGTGCAAGCTGACCCATTGAGGTGTCTGTGGCTCTGGCTGCTGATTCAGCTGTCAGTCATTGAGCCTCTTCAGTCAGGGCACAAACAAGATTGCTTCCTTGCAAATTGATATAGTCTGCCACTGCCGGCTTCATCTTCAACATGATCTGGTACCTTCTGAAAACAAACTTTGCATTTTTAAACTGCAGATTTCTTTGGGGCATTGTCCCCCAAAACATCAGTGATTTTGGCATTCTTTCTCAAGCTTCACCACAAATTTGATGTTTGACCTTGCTTCAATTTTAGCAGAACTCAAGTTGCTATGACAGAGACTCGCTTCATACTGATGTTGTATTCTTCTTAGTGCTTCAGACTTTGTTGTTGTTCTGTTCCATCAAGTTGCTTCTGACTCATAGCAACCCTGCATAGGGTTTCCAAGGAGCATCTGGTGAGTTTGAACTGCTGACCTCACGGTTGAGTGCTTATCTTACATCGCCACACCAGGACTCCTATAACAGTTAGTATGAGTTTATTTTGGAATAGAAAAAAAATTTTAAGCCATAAATAGTTTTTTCATAATACACATTTTCCATGAACTTTTTGAAGACCCCTTTGTACTTTTGTTTATTTGTAAAAACTTAAAAAATGCTAGTACTGATTTGTAAAACATCTCAAGGTCTCTTCCAGTTTCAATGGCCTTCTTTTCCTTCTCTTATGATTAAAAGAATAAAGTATTTTAAATGTTTACTTGAAATACAATCCACTGTTTAGTTATTCCAATTATTAATGTATTTATACTATGATACTTGTAGCCTCATAAATTCAAAGCTGATCAACATTAATTTATTTCATCTTAGGAAAATAATACATTTTTTAAATGTACAAAAGCATTAGTTTCTTCTATATTCTTAAAATATTTAGTTAAAGTTATATGTCCATCTTAATTTTGTATGTTTGCTATTTTATTTAGTGATTCAACAGATGAAGAATCGTTAGCTAAAAAGGGGAATTGCCCAGTTGAACTGAAACCAGAAACTGCCTATAACTTGATGCATAACATTCTGTTTGGATTCTTGGCATTGAGTACGATGAGGTATTTTTGACTTTTTTTTTTTTTCAATTCAGCCATTCTTTACTTGAGATAACGTAGAAATATAATTTGGAAGCTGATAATCTTCATTAATGAATATGATCCCCATGAAACGGCCTTAGTTACTAGTGTCTTTTCCCAGCGCAAAAAATTATTCATAATCCATTATTTCCTGATTACAAACCTTCCTCTGTAGTTTTCTTATGTGATCGCTCATAAGGGCAGAGCCCTATGCAGATGGGTTCTTCATAATGTCAGTCAGGTTCTACTGCTAAGACTCCCAGTTTGTACACAGCTGCAGAGAACTGTTGACGTTTGCCTGTCCCTGCTCTTCCAGGATGAAGTACCTGTGGACATCACACATGTGTGTCTTTGCATCATTTGGTTTATGCAGCCCTGAAACATGGGAGTTACTTCTGAAGTTGATCGGTCTTTATAACTCAAAGAGGGTGAGTGTTGTCCCTTTTTACCATTTCGTTTTTATTTCTTTTAGTATTTTTTTCATACCAATTCATTATTTTTCAGTGGTTGCCCCTATCTAATTCTGATAAAGTGGACACTAAAATTTGAAGCTAAAATAAGTAATTGGTACATTATGATTTTATAAGATACCGTGTTTTAAATGTATCGCTTATTTTTCCCCTTAGGTCATAAGTTAGCTGTGTTCATTTGGAACTACTAAAATGCACAAAAAAGAAAATTAAAAATCACCCAATAATCCTATTACCCAGAGTTATCACTGTTATTATGCTAATGTGTTTTCCTCAGTATAAGAAGTAATAAGAGTGTGGGAGTGATTAATAGCCTACAGATACAGTTCTGAGTTGTTTTGCCCTATAAATTCACTAGGTGGCAATATGGTAAAGCTATATAAATAGCTTATAAATGATTGGAACCCTTACACTGACCCAGTTGTTTTGTATATTAAAGACTTAAGCTTCAGTAAATGACATTTCTATTGCTTACAAAGAAAAACAACCATATGTTTACAAAACAAAACAGTAATGCAAAAGTATTCAAAATATGTGTTATCTTAATAGTGTCTTTCTTACGTAGATATGTGTAATGCGATACACAGTACCGATATTAATACTCCTGTATCTTTGCTATAAGGTAAGACGGACTTTGCTCATTCTTGTCATTAATCCATTTAGGCAAATAAATGCATTCCGTAAATATACTTTGTGTATTATTTGGCAAGTTAGAGTGGTTGTAAAGGTTGTATTAGGTTTGTGTTGTTGCTGTTACATGTTATTGAGTCAGTTCTGATTCATAGTGACCCTGTATAGGGTTTGAGCTGCCGACCTTAACAGTCCAGTGCTTATCCTACAGCGCCATACCTGGTTGGCAGAGGTTTAGCTTCATAGTGTCTTAATGACAATTGACACCGACAACTAAATGAATCTGTTTCCTAAATACTTCCGAGCAAGAAAGAAAATGATAGCAAATATTGCTTGTTGTTAAGTGCCATCGAGTCGGTTTCTACCCATAGCAACCCTGTATAGGGTTTCCAAGGAGCAGCTGATGAGCTTGAACCTCCAACCTCATGGTTCAAACCAGTTTTGCAGTCCAGTGTTTTAGCCCTCAGCACCATACTAGGACTCACAAATACTACTAATTTGTTGTTGTTGTTAAGTGCCGTTGAGTCGATTCTGACCCATAGCGACCCTGTACAGGGTTTCCGAGGGTGTAAATCTTTACGGGAGTAGAAAGCCTCATCTTTCTCCCGCGGAGCTACTAATTTAGTTATTCTAATTAGTTTTGGCATTTAATTGTTACTATTCTTAAGCTCTGAAACTAGAAATGTTTTCAAACCTATTTTGAGGTGAATAAAGTAAAAAATTAACTTCCCTAGTTGCCTGATTTTTTAAGAAACTTATTTGTAAAAGATTTAAAAATGTATTTCACTTTAATGTACAAGTTTTATTATCTACTTTAAATCATCTTTGTAACAGATCCGAACACCCATAAGTATAGTCTTTAGCCTTTTGATCTGTTCTTTGGTTACAGTAGGAATTAATGAAATGTTTATTCTCAGTTGACTAATTTTTGAAACATTAATTGTGCTTCATGTCTGAGAATATGAGGAAGATGGATCCTGGATCCTGTGGAGTACTTTGTGACTTCTGTAATATCACTGAGATTTTGAGAGTCTTGAACTTTTACTGGGGACAGACGGAGAACACATTGTTTCCTCAAACTCAGCTCTTGCTCTGTTTTTTAAAAAAAAAAATCTTGCATATTTTTTAAAATTAGATTTTTTTCGCTCTTATTTTTTCCTAAGTTAAACAATGGATTTCAGAGAAATCCATAGTTCTAACTTTAAAAAAAGTTTAACAAGATCTGGTTTGGGGATGTTTTGGGGAGTGAGAAAAGTCACCCCCGGAGATGGTCAGCCACAACCGTTCAGCTTTTGGTTTTATTTGCTGTGATTTTCATGCAGGATTTTTAATTCACGCAGCGGTATTAGGCTAACACGAAAAGGATGACCGTCACTATTTTGGATGATTCTGTTGTAATTTAAGAATATATATTTTTTAAATCATGTTCTGTCATGTTCCTGTTTTTTCAAAAACATTTCCTGTTATGGACAGGATGCTCTGCTAACTCCTAGAAATACATTTTGGTCCCTTGCCGCTGGGAATTTTATGACTTTACATTAAAGAAGTAAAACTTACTCAAAACATTTGGAAAGTAGCAACTAAGGAAGTAATGTATATGTTTAATAATTAATCAGGTGAATCTATCTTTGTGTATTGATTCTGAGGTAAAAACACCCTCCTTAACAAAAAAGATGCAACTCAGTAGGGGTGTTGTCTCATCACTAAAGATGTGTGCAAACAATCAGTCTTTTCCACAGTCTATATGTATACGCTAAGTTATTTTAAGTCTCAGGTACATGGTTAAAATTTTACTTTTTTTTTTTTTTTAAAGCTATTTGAGGTCTCTTGTTGTTAAGAAAGCCAAGTGCCTTATAGAAGACATATATTATGCTACAGAGCAGTTGGTTTTCATAGATGGTCCCCAGAGTAGCAGTATCAGCACCACCCGGGAACTTGCTAGAAATTCAGATTCATGGTTTCCACTCCAGACCTACTGAACTAGAAACTCTGGGAGTCGGGCTGGAAATATACAAGGAGGCTTCAAAAACAGTTTGTGGAAAACTGGAATTAAAAGATATAATGGAATTTTCCCGTGAACTTTTTGAAGTCTCTTGTACATTTCAACCAACTCTTCAAGTGACGCTGATGCCCTGTGGAGCTTGAGAGGTCCCAGCTTTAGCTCAGGGCTTCTCAACAATAACACGACTGACATTGGGGTCAATAATTCTCTGTTGTAGGGGTCTGCCCTGTGCGTCCCTAGTGTTTGTGGAGAACCACTAGATGCCAATAGGTTCCCACCTCCCCACCCCCCATAAAAACCACTGCTATAGAAGAGTCAGTGATAGCTCTACAAAAACCGTGATTTCCAAGAACTCTTTGTTGATTCCCACGCAGTAAGAGTGTCAGTATTCTGAAGACTCCTCCAAGAAACTATTGGGCGAGTATCTCTCAGAACAGGACTTCAGGAGGAATCAACACATCCATCACTCCCTATGTAAAATAGTTCAGAGAATCCATTTTCTCCAAACTTGTCAAATAAGATTATAAAGAAAATAAAGCTTTATACTGTTTTTTTTTAAGTGAGTCAATTCCAAGTGATAGAGATCCTGTTGGGCAGAATAGAACTGCCCCATCCGTAGGGTTTCCAAGGTTGGAACCTTTATGGAAGCAGACTGCCACATCTTACTCCCACAGAGCAACTGGTGGGTTCAAACTGCCAACCTTTCCGTTTGTAGCCAAGTGTTTAATCAATGCACCACCAAGGCTCCTTTTATAGTCACTGTGACTCTGAATCTATGTTTCAGATTTAAAAAAAAAGAATCTGTGTTATTTATTTATTTTTAAACCTTTTATTGTGAATTGAGTGAAGGTTTACAGAGCAGTGAATCTGTTTTTCAACTACAGAACAGATTTCTCTCTAAGGAACATGAATTCATATCTTTCAAAGCTTGATTTGGGTTTAAATAGCAATTTGATTGTGATTTCAGAATTGCTTAAACACAATCCCAGTTTTATGTATTGGATAATCCTATTTGAACGAGAAAAACATACTAGTCTCGACATTAAAATCAAAAGTTTTAATAAAATGAGTACTCTGGTCTTTAATAACCTGTTTTAGATTGCTGAAATCTTATGTAAGCCATTACTGGTAGTTCCCAAGCAGCCTTTAGTTCATTTAACCTTGACTTTCACATTAAGGAAGGAACCCTGATAGTGCTAATGAAAAGGTAACTGGTTTGAATCTGCCGGCTGCTCCATGGGAGAAAGTTGTGGCCATCAGATTCCATGAAGATTTACAGCCTTGGAAACCTGGAGGGACAGTTCCACTCTGTCCTGTAGCGTCGCTATGTAGGAATTGACTTACGGCAGTGGGGTGTTGGTTTTCATGTTAAGGAAGGTACTAAGAGACTATGTTACTAGATTTTTATAGTTTCAGAGTTAATACTAGCAGTTTTCAAACTAGAAAAACATCTAATACCCCTTGAGTTCAAAGATTGCAAAATATATTTTAAACCAAAAGATTTAGAGCATATCATTAAGGTAGATATCCTGTTGATTATCAAAATTAATCATTGATAGTTGAAGTATAATAAAGGTATCATCTAATCAGTAGTTTTTACTACATCTCTTCCAAAAACTAGAACCAGAAGAGCTGACACCCGACTTCCCATCTGCAGCACTTTTCCCGATTCAGTCACCTAGGAGATAAGACGTGAATAAGTCGCAAAAATGACCACAGATGAGATGACAGGGGAAGAAAGTGGTAGGGATAAACACAGCCTGGGCCAGCAGGTGCTACTTGGGTTCTAGTTGTCATTCTTAAATAGAATTATGTTTTCCAGCATCACTGAAACAGATACATTGGCAGTGGGTTGTCTTACTTAATATTCCACTATTTGAAGTGAATTCTGCAATTAACCTGAAGAAGTACAAGGGAGATTTCAAAATGTTCGTGGAAAAATTCCATTATCCTTTCGTTCCATTTTTTTATGAATTTTTTTTTAAGTCCCTTGTTGTATATAGATGATTGGGCCAACCATCATTGGTAACACAATTAAGATTGAATTAATTGTATAATTAAAACATGCTTAGTTATACCAGGTAGACTGCAAATTAAGAGTCTAATTTTACATTATATCAGTATAACTAAGTAACTCTAGTTAACCAGCAGACTGTGGTGGTAGAGATATAATACTCACGTGTGGCAGGTTTTCTAGGAGAGTCTTACTTTCAGATATCCTTCTATCCCGCTGCACATGTAATTAACAGACATCAAACCACTTAGCTAGAGTTGAACTGAATTTCTAGTTAAAAAAAGACACTCACCATATCACATAGTAATTCACGTTCTGAGTCTGCTGCTTTGTGCCCTGGTCAAGTCACGTTACCTCTGAAAGAGGAGTCATGATGACACCCGCTGGCGTTACTATGAGGAGAAATGGAAATTCTGTACTTGAAAGCATTTTTGCAGCTATGAAATGGTGTTACTTCTCCCGCAGTCTCTGTAGGAATGACCATTTCATTCTTGAGAGTGTACATTTTATTATTAAGAGTAGATAATAAATGATATGCATACTTGCTTTTTTCATTTTGTCTTAGTGATAGTGGTGGGCCTGGGGTGGAGTTTTGGTTTTGTTTTGTTTTGTTTTTAATTTCAGTTCTGGCCAGGAATGATGGATGAACTCTCCGAGTTGAGAGAATTCTATGATCCAGATACAGTGGAGCTGATGAACTGGATTAAGTAAGAGGACTTTAACTTTTTTTTAAAATTTTTAGTGCCTTTCAAAAGTCCCTGCAGATCACATTTGTTTTTTCGTTTTGTTTTTTCCTTCTGAATTTAATTGTGAAGAAACATTCATTCATAATACATATTTCTTTAAAAGTCTGTATTTAGAAATAGTTTCTTTCCATTGAAGAAATAGTCTCTCCCAATCACAATCTCATGAAACAGGGAAGATCATTATTTGCAGAGGAAAATAGACTAAGGAAATAATTGTCAAACCATAGTAGAAATGAAAAGAAAATTTTATTTTTCATCTTTGTTTAAACTTAAAAGTTTTACACTATCTCTTTGCCAATTTTTTTTTTCACTTTACAGCCATTCAGTTTCTATTAATGCTGACATCTGAAAGTCTTCCTTATTAATCATTTGAAAATTATGCTATAAACAGCAATACATAGGAGTCAAGATAGTTCAGTTCAGATTCCATTTTAACTAATCATACTGTCCAGGCGATATGATTGCTAATCATACTAAGAATATTTAGAATACAAATATTAGAGCTTTTTCTTTCGTCAACATTATAATGCTTGTACATTATAGTGGTTCTTTCTTTCGCCTGCACTTCGTTACTTTGCCTCAGCATTTGGCCTCAAAATAAATTCACGTGTTTCAAAGCTTTGTTAATGAAGCCTCCCTCCCACCATCAAAAAATCAACTCCTCTACCCAGCAGCATTTCAGTGTCTTGTAATACTCTATTTCTCTACTTTATAACCCAAAAGCAGCCATGGAATTATTCACACATAAATAGATGCTGCAAATCTTAGGTGGCATATTCTGAAAGCATTGGCTGTATTGTCTCCATCACTTAGAATTTTAGTAGCCATATTGGCACTTGCTCATGACGAATGTTTACTAACCAGTACAGTTTAGCACCGCTTGTGTATTAAAAGATGGTAAATGTTTGATAGCTTAGGTCTCCCGAGTGCAATACGTGGATTTTATAGAGATTTATATCTAAAATATCTGTGTGGCTTTGGTCCCAATGTCGGTCTGGGTTTGACTAGATGCAATGAGTATAATTTTTCACACATTTTCGGGGCTGAGAGTGCTAAGCAGTGCTTTGTCTTTGTTTATTAATTTAATTTTAAATCATGGCAGATAATTATAGAGTAAATAATTCCTTCAGTATTTATTGTATATAGGAAAAGAGGATTATTCATATAAAGAAAAGCTAATTACTTTTGCATTAACTATAGTCAACTCAAAATTTATGGCTTTTGCATCTGAAGGTGAGGCCGCTTCTTTTCTGCTTTAAAATGATGCTGTTGGAGTGACTACTGCAGGGCTCCTGCTCTCTGAAGAGACTGGGGTTTCTGGATCTACCAAACACCCCTCTTCTGTTCCCCTGCCAGGAACTAACCATAGAGTCTTTACAAAAAATAATCCTAGCGTGGCCCCAGATTGTCTTTGGCTGCCTGAGATTGGAGGTGTTTATTCACAATGCCTTTATTTCCATGCCTTTCCTCACAGAAAATTATTTACAGTCAAAGTAACATTTCTGAGTGAAAAACTGTAGGTAAGGGAAGATTCTAGATGTCAGCAGGAGATTAGTCTGTGGCTTCTTTTCCTCACTTGGTCCCTTTGATGCTTCTAGGAGCTCCTTTCACTGGGCGTGCTTTCATGTAGCTCTACTCTGTTCACTTCCTTTTTTTTTCTTTTTTAATTTTTAGCAAGTTAAGGATTTGTATTGTTCATAAAAACTGATTCCATTGTGATCTGATGGTATCTGTTGTTGTTGCTGTGTGCCGTGGAGTCAATTCCGACCCATAGTGACCCTGAACAGGGTTTCCGAGGCTGTAAATCTTTATGGGAGCAGAAAGCCTCATCTTTCTCCCGTGGAGCAGCTGGTAGTTTCAAACTGCTGACCTTGAGTTTCGCAGCCCGATTCGTAACCACTACGCTACTTCAACTCTAAATTATCAATTTTGTAAAAATAGCTGCTAGGCATGTTTGTGAAATAAGCTTAAGTGGTGATGAATGTATGCCAAAATAGCATCTATTTAGACACAAAGTATGTTTGTTTATGTCAACATTTAAATAAGCTCTGGTCTGTAGGCTTAGATTCCAAACACAAGTGATAATTCTGGTTTTTTGCTTTGTTTTGTGTTTTGAAACTTTATTGTGAATTGAGTGACAGTTTATAGAGCAGATCTTCAGTTTTATCTTCGATAAATCATGCGCTTTGTTTCATCTCAGTAGATTTATACTGTTTTTAAGACATCAAATATGACCTTCAGTCGTCACCTTGCTACTGCAATTAGCCACACAGTGCCCATGATATTGATTGGTGGTGGGTGGTGTACTGTTGAGCCATTTCCATCTCATAGCAACCCTATATAGGGTTTCGGAGACTGTAAATCTTTATGGGAGCAGAAAGCCTCATCTTTCTCTGATAGAGTGATTGATGGATTCAAACTGCTGACCTTGTGGTTAGCCCTGGGCTCCTGTCGTGATGTTAGTAGATAGGAAATGTGCTGGAGACAGGCTGCGGGTGTCAGGATACGGGGCTATATATGAAAATCTGTCTTACGCTGTCTGGAAGCAGCCACCAGGTCTGTTCTCAGGCAGATGTCTGTCCTTTGTCAGCGCAGTTATGACGACCTCTGTGGGAGGAGGAGTTGGAGGGGCCCAGCTGCTGCAGCTAGTCGAGTCTAGAGAGCTAAATGTACCCTGTAGAAGCCTCAGGGGCAGCCATTTTTCTGTCAAGTGTAGAGAAGCTTAGCCATCCTCTCCTGTCTCTGCGTTGGGTACTTGACTCTGTACTAAGTATCACTGGTGTGCTCCAGGGGATACAGAGCTCCCGTTTGGGCACGAGCTCTTTCCAAGGATCTGCTGAGGGCTTCTCTATCTCAAAGGTAAATGGAGAGATAGCATACCTTCAATTGGAGTTTGTTCTTTCTAAACGGCTAAGATCCTTTTTTTTTTTTTAAGTGAAATACTATTATTTGTTTTTAAAATAAAGTTGTTCCAGCCTTTTCCTGTCTGCTTGACACTGTTTTTTTGTTTGTTTAAAGCTCTTATTGGGTATTCAGTAATAGTTTACATGGGAGAACATCAGTTTTGCACTCCCCCTGTCATATTTCGTATCATCGCCATGGTTACAGTCCCCTCTTTGCACCACCATTCAACAGTGTTTACTTCTATGCCCTCTGGGTTGGTTTTGGTTTATTTTTGACATGCACAAAAACACTCAGCAGTATATAATCATTTAAACAACCAAAGAGCACATTCTGCAAGCCCACCTCCTGGCCGCCAGCTCACAGCCTTTCCATGAGTCTAGAGTCCTCAGCTGCTCTACCTCTCCATGTCATTATCTCTGCCTCCATCTCTGGTGTTGCTCCTTCTCTAGATGGAGGTCTCACAATCCGCTCATGCTCTTCTCCCTCGATGGTCCTAGGGTTCTCTGTTCCTGGACTGTAAGATTAACTACTCCCCACTGTATGTTACAAAATTTCTACTTTTACAGTTGTGACAGTCCAGTTAGTCATTATGACAATTACTATTGATAAGAATCGTATCCCCATCTCCTTTTACCAGACCCGTCTAGACAAGATGAAAATTATTCAGTGGGGACTCTATCTTCCCCTGCACTCTGAAACTAAACTTCCTCTTAAAAACTTGTAAGCCAGCCACTTCTTGCCTTTACAGCACCCACATTTTATGTAGCCAGTGTTGAAGCTGCTCATCCCTATCAGCTCTGTATACAGAGAGGATAGGTTTGATCCTTGATGTGTAGACACTGAAAGGCTAAATTCTTTTATAGATGGAGTCCTGGTGAGTCATTTGTAAAGTTATTTTACGTCAAAAATTATATAGTTACTAATCTGATTCAAATGTTTCTTGAGCACCCATTTGTATATAGCACATGGCACGAAACACTTAAGCATTGTGTCACTCATGCACGTATTCACTGCCGTCAAGCTGATTCCAACTCACAGCGACTCGGGATAGTGTTTCTGAGACTGTAAGTCTTTATGGGAGCAGAAAGCCTCCTCTTTTTCCTTAGGCGTGACTAGTGGGTTTGAACTGCTGACCTTGTGGTTAGTAGCCCATTGCTTATCCTACAGCACTACTTGTGCTCCAAGCATTGTGTTTTGGTGGTTGTGTGTGCCTTCAGGTCAGTTCCAACTCATAGCAACCCTGTATAGAGTTTCCAAGGCTGTAAATCTTTATGGAAACAGAAAGCCTCATCTTTTTTCCACAGAGCAACTGGTAGATTTGAACTGCTTTTGACCCTCATCGCATATTACTCTTTGTTCTTTTCCATATTTTTCTGTAGATCCAAAACCAGTTCCTGTCGTGTCATTTCCGACTTGTAATAACCCCATGTATAGCATATTGATACAGTAATCTGTAGGATTTTCAGTGACTGATTCTAAAGAGGTAGACCTCCAAGCCTTCTTCTTTGCTGATGATGTTTCCTGGTTTTTTTTGTTTTTTGGTTTTTTTCACCGTCTGGTATCTGTTGCAGTAAACACCAGGCAATATTTTTTATAGGTTTAATGTATAAGTAGAAAGCACATTTATTTCCACAAGACCAAATGCCATAGCAACCAATGGTTCGTACATTGTTCCTTTGTGTCCTTGAGTTCCTGAATTTTGGTCCCTGAAAATTTTCTTTGGTATTGCACAATTAACACAGGTGGATCAGTAGATAGGACTATGTTGAATTGTGACATTTTAACTACTGACTTTAGGAGAATTTCACTAGAAATAGTCTCTTTCCAGTATTAAAGGTATGTACAGTATTCTCGCCCAGGGACTGAAAAAAACATGTGCCAGAGTTCCTTACCATTTAATCAAAGCTAAAGGAATTACTACATGTTTTAAATATGATGTACGTTGAGTTCAGACCTTAAATGCCTATAAATCTCTTTTATATTTAATGAATCATTTTGTAGTATTTGCATAATTCTATAAGATTTTGAAGCCTAGATGGAGTAAATGCTCACACATT